GTATAAATATTTCTTGTAATTAATCTCACTATCAATTTCACTGTTTTCTTTGCTGTTTTGTTGTTGTATTGTTGACGTGAAGTGCTTACATAGTTATCAATCGAACTAATCATAATGGTATTATCGATATCAACTGCAATATCGGCAGTATGCCGGTATTGCAGATAAAGTTCGATAAACAAATTTGTAAATTAAAATCCATATTAATAAAAATGTTTAAAAAAAATATGCAAGAAAATTTTAGCATATATTTTGAAAAGAGGGGAGGAGTGGGGGAAGGAGGGGAGGGCCCAAAAACGGCTATGCCTAGGGCCTACGAAAGGTATAATCCGGCTCTGTACTGTATTAAGTTACGCATCCAAAATCGTTATTCGCAATATAATTAGCTTAATTTTATGTAGTATATTTTTGAGAGAAAAATCTATTAAAGTACTACTGCTGATGAATAAGTCTTACCAGCGTAACTTAATTGTGTTTAAAACAAAAAAGCATCTAGAAAACGAATATCAAAAATTTAACTTAAAACCCAAGATTACGGGAGGGAAGACGTCTCTTTATAGGTAATTAGTGTGCTAAGGTAATAAATACAAGGTACCTAATATATGTACCATTGTAATAGTTTTTTTTACGGAATCCCGACACGGATAAGTACCGTTTTTTTATTATTCTTATCGCTCTACTTGGGAAAGGTTCTGAACTATAAAAATACGCATCCACATTTGCACATTCCTGATAAATAAAAGAAAGTCCAGAGCCCAGCGCTAAGGATTTCAACTTATTAGACAAATATCCACAGTATACGCCAATTTTCTAGTCTTCGCCAAATGCAAATCTTAACAATGTTTTATGATTAATTTTTCCTCCACAGAACTTAACGGGGTTTTCTGTATGTTACGGTAGTTTGTTTCAGACTTACATTATTTGGAACAATTCCAATTCATCAAGCGTGCGCATTTACCGAATATTACTGTAATCTATTAAAAAATACAGATTTGTTTAGAAAAATTCATTTTAACGTAATTTTGATAATCGAGTTGAATATATATTTTTCTTTTCAGTGGAAAAAATCATTCGCCAAAACACAATTTTGTTCGCCAAATTAACGATTTTATCGCATTTGGCGAATGCTAACGCTGTCCCTGTATACATATTAAAATATTGAAATGACCGCCATTTTCATGTAACTCCCTTCCCGAACTATATAACGGTCTCTACACGTGTTCTCTTACCCCTCCCCACGCACGCACTCTCATTTTTTCCCTTCTTTTTTTCTGGCTAAATAAACACAACGATCCTCGATCTTTCTTCGGGGCCACAATTTTTATTCCCTCCCCTTCCCATAATAAGCAATGTTACGTCACTTATCCCCCCCTCACAATTTTTTTTCTATTTGTCTTTGTTAGATTTTTTTTTTCTCCTTTTTCTCAGACCTTCTAGAATTTTTTTTTTTTATGTTAGAAACACCTTCCCCTGAAGAAGAAAAAAAATGTTTTAAATGTAGGGGAGGGGGGATGTCCTTAAGTAGGTCAGACGTACCCCCGGCAGAAGAAATACATCTACTCACGAAAAGAGAGCCTAGGGTGTACAGAAATTTTACTTTATTAACCTAAATTAGTATTTCTATTCTATTATGGAATATCCATTTGTATATAATTTTAATGATTTAGCCTCATCGTGCGTACGTAAAAAAATAGAACTTTTTGAATTGATTTACATTTCGTGATAACACTGGATGCCGCGCACCTGCAGGGACTTGATTATTAATGTGAAAAACTAATATAACTGAAAATTTGAAAACGACAACAATGACAATAATTTTCTGCCAATCATTTAGACCAGAGATGGGCAAACTACGGCCCGCGGGCCAACTGTGGCCCGTCGGAAGGTTTCATCCGGCCCGCGGATGGAATTTTAACTTGCCGATCCATGGCAAATATAAAAAATATGCATCTATTTTCTTGTCGACTTTGTTTAAAGCTATTTATGTTCTTTCTTTTTTAACAAAGTACTGATGACTTCTTTACTTTCTCTATTTTTGTTCTACAAGACATAAATTGATGGAAATAGCACAGAGAGCTTCAATTGGTAAAATGTTGAAAGCAGAAGTTCTTTATAGAATAGCTGTAGATTGGCGTTTGTCTTTCTCGAGGAGCAAACTTATGGAATATAATATAGGCGAATTATGCTTCATATGTTGCAGACTGCGCATATGGACAATCTGATGCAGTTGTTTCTAAATATGCCAATGTTTGAGTTTTACAAATAATTACCAAAAGCTAGTATCCAAAATTTTAATATTTCATGCCCAGAAAATCAGTGCTGTTTGCTTAATCTTATATATATATATATGTGTGAACAAGAGTTTTCAACTATGAACATTTTAAACAATCATTTTAGAAGTAGACTAAAGCATTTAGCCTCGTTCCTTAAAGTAAGCACATCTCACTGTGAATGTCATATAAGGAACTTTTAGAAATGAAATCGAAATTTCATTCATATCACTAAATATTTAAATTAAAACTTAAATATCGCTTTTTTTATATTTAAATTTTGAAGTTTTTACTTTGCTCACCAAGCAATTTTTTTCTCAATTTTTGGCCCCAGACCAAAAAAGTTTGCCCATCCCTGATTTAGACGATGGAGCTCTGGCCCCCACTTGCTTCGCTCATCAATCCCCCAAAATTACTACAACCAGAAAAGGATGATTAAGGCACAGATTTTTTAGAGAAGGAATGCTATAAAATTCTAATATTTTAATGCATTTTTCAGAAAATAACAAGTGGAAATGTGTATTTCTTCACTAGAAGAATTTTACTTATTTGAAAGAAGAAGAAATGTGTATTTCTTCTGTAGGGGTGGTTGAAGCTAAATTTATTAAGGCTAAATTTATTTAGCAGGAAATCGCAAAAAATTTCAAAATTTTAGATCAATTTTAGAAAATAACACTAGGAATGCGCATTTATTTACACAGAGGCTTATATATTTTTTTAATTTTACTTAGAACATGATTGACTTAGTAAATTCTGCTTCCGAACGAATATCTATTGCTAAACCATTAAATTTTTTTTTATAGTGAATTTACCGTGAATAACCTAAATCAAGAGAAAATTGATTTTCATCGGTGAATGTCAATAATTTCATAGTCACTTTGGTGAATGTCCGAAATATTTGTTATATCCGATTTTATATTAATTTATTCGTTGATATTATTATAATTTATTCGATATGTAAATATCTGAAGAGTATAGATTAGAGGAGAACCGGTTCGGAGTACCGGTTAAATGCATACTGGGCAGTGGCCCAGTATGCACTGTGGCCCAGTATGCAATAATGCATACTTTTAAGGGCACTTGCCCTTAAAAGACATTGATGCAGGGCATACGAGGCAAAATCATGCCTGGCAGTGGCACTTGAGCTTAAAAAACATTGATGTAGGGCTTGCCGGGCAGTGGCATTTAACTAGACCTAGTATGTATTTCGAACATTTACCAAAGCAACTACGTGATTGTCAACATTCACCGGTGGAAGTCAACAACCACCGATTTCGGTCATTCAGAGTAACAATTACATATCCTCTTCTTCAAAATGTGTGTATTTATGTAACATGTATATTTTTAGGATTACAAACGTAGTTACTGAGTTATGAAAATTAGTAAAATCTTATTTCATTATATTTCAATTCAATCTATTTTAGGATTTGTAAAAGTTATACTATTTGAAAGGGTTCGTACTCATCTGGAAAAAATAAATAACTGGTATCAATTTTGTCTTAAAAAAGCTGCGAATTTCTTAACTTTGACTGTTGACTCAAAATTGCAGATGCGCCATCTTCGGATCTATATATATTTACTTAGAGAAAATAAAATATGCTAGTAGCTGCGAAAATAATAATATTAAAAAAAAAAAAGTATATGAATATTACTGCCAATTTTTAATTTTTTCCAGGTACGTATGAACCCTGTTTGAGGAAGAATTATGAATTACTTTTATTGATAAACCATTAAAAAAGTAGAAAAAACATATATCACACCAACTTGTAAGAAAAACAAAATCAATTGGCCGAAAGGGTTTTATTATGAACAAAAAATTTTGGGCGCACAGTGCAACTCAGGATATATATGAATAAATAAGAATAAATAATAATATAAATCATCAACATATATACAAATGTCTTCCTAGACCATATGCCTTCTTAGACTGTAAGAAAATAAAGAATTAATTTTTATTATTACAGAGTATTTTAAACAATATTTACAAGAATATTTAACTATACTTTTTCTAGTCTGTATATTCTGTTATGTTTGTAAAAAATAAACAAAAAAGCAAAGAATGATTAAGAACGTTTTAACCTGTTCAACACTCCATCATATCTTGACCCAACCCGGTTCACCTCAATGGAAGACGGACGCTCTATCCCCTGAGCCATCACAGCTCAATTTTAGGATATCAGCGATTCCCGAAAAACAAAATTATGTGATATTTTAATTTGTTAAAACAGATAACAATATGAAGGGGCATTTGAGTAATTTGTCTGCCTGTAGTCACTAATATATTTCCATACTATCAGCACAGATTTCTGTAAGAAAAGTTTATTTGGTTTAGAAGTTTGCCGTTAGAAGATAATTATAATTTCCATTCTGTTTCATTGTTGTATAAAGTTTCCTAGGTCAGGTTTTAATCACAGTTTTCTTTTGCTCTTAATAAAATGCAGTTACAAAGGAAACTAAAAAAGAATTATCTATTTTATTGTTGAAACTAACTGATTAAACTTGCAACATATTTAAAGTTTACCTCTCTTTGGCATGTCCTCATTTTCAACCTAAAGGTTGAATCTTTTCTGATATTCATAAAATTTGCCCTTGTTCTCGAAAAAGTTCCAATATTTTTCACCTTTTGGTTTGGGCAAATGTGAATAGAAATCGATCTTCTTTTTGATGAATCCTAAGAAAAAAGAAAAACAAAAAACGGTCAAGGGTATTTCGAACGATTCATCTTGGTTATTATTTCAATCATATAAATAAAAATCAAGATATTAGTAATTGTATAATACGCAAATAAGTGTTATTCAGTGTTAATTAAGTATTATTTTAGGATTCAAGCAAAAATATTATTCTTTCTTTATTTTTTAATATAACTTTTTCAGGGTATTATTTTAGGTACGATACAATACGCAATACTTAGTAAAGTTTAATCAGCACAGCTCTTTCATGCTATAAAGTAATTAAACTCCGAAAATCACATCATAATCTCTAACAAATATGCGAAAAGCATAAACGCATTAAGGAGGAATTTATTTTAATCGAAATCGAGTGATTTTAAATTTGTACTTTAAAATCAAAGTTCTTTTTATCACTAAAAACTTAATGAGGAAGGTTTGAGCAAAGTGACAGCTGATAGATAAATGCTTTTTTAATCATAATTTCGAATCTAGAATTCATTTCTTGGAATGATATGGTATTGCGTAACTTTTTTGTTGCGTGCAATCAATGTAATTTGATATTGTACAAGCAAATAAAACTATACTTGTTTTTCTAAGATGTTCTCACTTTTTACGATTTAAATTATGCTAATAATTTATGTTCAAAAACGTCATGTTCATTAGTTCTGGTTTATCGCTTTTAGCAATTAATTTTTATTTACCTAATAAAGAATAAATAAAATAAAAATTTTAAAACGACATTTTTCAAGGGATCTGAGAAGATTAAAATAATTATATTTCAGTCACACTGACAAAGAAAAACATAAAGTGCATCACTTATGAAATACGTGAGGGGAATTTATTGTGGAGATACATTTATTAGATTATTAGATTTTCATTTTTAATGAGACCAAAATAGATAAATTAAAAAAAAGCATTTTCTCGAAATTTTATTTGTTTCTATTATGTTATTTTTAGTTTTATGTTTGTTAGTCGTTAAATTTCGATTGGTGATAAAAGAAATATAAATTGTATCACTAAGCTAACTTGCTTAGAAATCATTTAGCTAACTTAATATGCTAACTTGCACAGTTTATTGAACGTCATCAGCTAACCTGTATTGTTATAAGGTTACAGTTGACATTTATGCCCTTTTAATATTCGACAGTTGATCAGAATTTTAATAGACGATACATTCTCTTTGTCGATAATATCGAGATACACTTTCCTTGTAGCGGTTAGGAAATAATTTGTATTGTCCCCTAGTGCAGAGCTTCAATACAAATTAGGGTTTTCTAGTTCATAGAAAACAGTTGGATTCTTGTGTGAACATGATATTGTGCTAAATTTTGTTAATGGCGGTTAAAAAAAGAAAAGAAAGAAAACGATTGCAATTTAAATTGTCTTTCAGCACATAGCTGCATCTCAAATTTTATTGCTTTAGTTATGCGGAAAAATTCGGAAATTTGAATTGCAAAAAAAAAAAATTTTTGTAGATATTGTTACGATAAATTTTATTTGATCTGAAAAGTGTAGTGATCTGAGTGATCATGTAGTGATCTGAAAACGATTCTCAATTGCGTTATTTTTCTTCACTTATAGGAAATTGAGTGCTTTAGCTAATCGGGAAGGGGTCATACTTTTAGGTGCATGATTTCATCTCCACGGTTGCGAAAGCAAGTAAATAAAAACGCAGTAAAAATATTCCAGAATTATTAAAATATATTATTATAGTTTTAAACTAACTTAAACTGGTTTAAAAACTAAGCGTATGACCACTATTGTTAATGTAGGAATCAGCTGTGAAAATAAAATTCAATGAGCAAAACATTAAGCTAGGAAATAAGTAATGAAGTATTAATAATAATCGAGTAAAATTTAAATTTAAAAATTTTAAAATCCAAAACTCACTGTGGAAAGACAAGTTCAATAACACGCTGTCTTCGTTGCTGTTGTGACATAGAGCAAGATGGTAAATTCCACTGTCACTCAGTTTATGTTTTTTAAATGTGATGGTGACAGTATCATTGGAGACAGCAACTTCAAACTTTTTCACTCTCTTTCCTTTACGGTAAAGTTTCACAGTTGAACCAGGAATGACATCTGGAAAAGAGCAAAAATACTAAATATAGTACATATTTAAACACTATTTCATTTGTTTCAGTTGCTCATTTGTGTTTAATTGTAGAGTAATAAGTTACATTTTATCATCAAGTGCCACATTCATCGCATTGTATTGTATTACATTTTGAATAAAAGTTAAACGATACGTAAAAAAACACATTTTAATTCTATTCTCATGTTTAGTTTAAAATGAATTATTTGTCATAAATTTTTGGTATGATAATTTGGAAAGGAACATATGCTTCGAAGATCTATACGGTCAAAAATGTAAAGAGGATCGGTCAGTTTAGGTACTTTTTTTTTTTTCAGAGTTAATCAATTTCCTGAAAATCTAATTTGAGATTCTTGTGTCCATGTGTGTCACAGAAACCTGATGTAAAGCAGTTATGTGCTCTGCTGTCTAAGTTTCAGAAACAACATTTAATAATCTTTTTCAGCAGTATGTATTATATTTTGTAATTGTATTTATTAATAGTCGAAAAAATTTGAAGTGTAAGATATAAAAAGTTTACATAATTTTACAGAAAGAGCAAAAGGAGAAAGAAATGGCAAAGAATAGCAAAAGTAAAGGGCAAAAATAAAATTTAAGCTCATTCAGTTAAATAGTTTTGAGTTATTAAAATTTAAAAGGACGTATTTTTAAATTCTCATCATGAACTATTCACCAAGATCCTTCACATTTTGTATTTTGCTACTTAAAGTTGCATTATTTAATAATATCATAAAAATAATAAAAAGCTATTACTAATTATTTTTTTACGTATTTGGATAAACAAAATATCATTAGTTTTATCTATTTTATTATTGGAAAACATATATTTAAATTATGATAATTAAATTTATAATTGTATGCACAACTTTTTCGATTCTCTTAAAAAATTCTGGAGATACGGCAAATTGCTCAAAAAATAAAATTAAAGGGTCCAAATTTTCTTAGCTCACACGCTCTCATCAATTTCTTCAAAACTATACCTATCGCCATTTTCGAATTTAGTACCAGATGTATTCTATCTTCCCACCATTAGGTTGTTACCAGCAGTTCTTCAGTATAACCGAAAACTTTACTACAACTTTGATAACTTTTTAAACTTTATTTCCTTTTACGAGGTTTCCAATGCCACTTTCAATCACAACAAGTAAATCATACTTTACGTTTCTATACATTGGTTCCCACACGCTCTCACCAATTTCTTCAAAACTATACCTATCGCCATTTTCGAATTTAGTACCAGTTGTTCCATCTTCCCACCATTAGGTTGTTACCAGCAGTTCTTCAGTATAACCGAAAACTTTACTACAACTTTGATAACTTTTTTCACTTTATTTCCTTTTACGAGGTTTCCAATGCCACTTTCAATCACAACAAGTAAATCATACTTTACGTTTCTATACATTGGTTCCCACACGCTCTCACCAATTTCTTCAAAACTATACCTATCGCCATTTTCGAATTTAGTACCAGT